CTTTCCCTAGTGCTATCTGGTCATTGCCTCACCCAATTCTGCCTTCACCCAGCCCTGGTCCCCCAAGATCCCACCTCACCACCTTTGTTCCACATTTTCCTGCTATGTATTCTCTCCTCCATCTGCTCAGTTTTCTAAGTGGTTCAAGTAGGTTTTCTTGTTGCAGGCTGAGAGCAGGTGAGAAGGAGCAGCTTGCACGTGTTCCTGATGTTCTGCAACACACAGTTCATCAGCAAAGAAAGCTAGAAAGAGCTTGGTTTGCTACCCTGTTACACTAGCACAAAGCTGATGCAATGAAACAATGATAAGCCACTACTGGAGGTATCTGGAGCATATAGTGGAGCAATTTCTCCAATTCCTCCCAGTAGTCAAATGGGAAAGCAACATCAGAAGGTGTGACAAGAGGACTGAAAGCTGGCGAGACAACAGACTGGACAGGGCCTTTACTTCACTGTATGGGATGGCTGCACTAGAAGCAGTAAAATCATCTCTACTTTACCTAAGCAAGTGAATATTTAGTCTTAGTGTCAGAAGGCCTGTTAAAGCCCACAGCTGAGTCCCTTGTACGACTGCACTGGTCCTGTTCAGTTTGGCTGCATACTAAATTGTACCACAAATGCCTGTAATGACTTTCTCCAACCTGAACGTCAAGTAGCACCCCTCCCCCCCATTCCTCCTGCAGAGGAGATCATTCCTCCTCACCCTTTTCCACTGTCAAGTCAGTGACCTGCCTGTCAGCCTTCTACATTTAAGTTATGGAACTAAATGAGAAAAAAGAAAAGGGTAGCATAAACAGCCTCCAAACCAGGCTGTGTACCAAAGAGATTCCTGCTTTGCCTTGCCTGATCTTGCCAGTCCTCATATGACATCAAATCCAGCTTAGCTAACCAGCTCTTCAAAGAAGGACCTTTATGACCTGCCTATTCTCTGTCATATACTCATTAACACCTAGAAAAAGGATCAGAATCGCAGCGATTCATATCCACTCTGTACAAGCAAAAATGACCACACTATATCCAAGACAGTCAAATGTCTGGCCCTGCATCTTCACTCTCCCTCAGACATACATAGATGCTACCTATGCGGTATACTAACAGTGCAAAAACTTGTAAGAAATGACTGGTAAATGTAAATGTACTAAGATGTATGGATGCTACAATTACTTACCAGTGGCTGCCACAGGTTGCATAGTGTCCTTGCTAACAACTTACCAGACAGTAATTTGCTAAAAATCCATGTCCCATAGTGACTGCAAAAGTTTCAGGGCATGAACTGACGTAACATTTGAAGCTCTCCAAGTGCCTTTAAAATGTACCAGAAAGTGAAGGTGCAAATGGACTTGGCTGATGAAGTGCTTAAAAAATGGCAGTTCTGCTTCAAAAATAGGCTAGAAAAAAACAACGAACTTTGAAGCACTTCAGTATTATGTTTGCCCCCTTCAGCAGACCGTGATAGGGAGCTAGTTGGCCCTCTGGCATCCCACAATGCTTTGCTTTCCTCACCACATACAGACTGCTCTAAAGAGCTGTCTCTGGTACTCACGTTGAACTCCACTGCTCCACGGTCACAAGATCTGCCTGGTATGTGACTTCTGAGATTTCCTGCCAGGTATGAAGACAAGCCACACCCTAATATCCCTAAACACCCACACCCAACCTGAGGAGTTGACTTCCATTGTAATGTAACAGTGTTCAGGCCCTTACAAAGCCTCTCCCTGGCAGCCTATACCCAGAATGTTTGTGCCACTTGCTTCTGTTACATCTGTAAGGTGGTCTACCACCAAGATCAGGGGTCAGGAACCTATGGCCTTCAGGCTGGGTCTGGACAGTGCAGCAGGGTCTTCAGAAGCTTTCAGTGGCAAGGGGCTTCACTTGTGCTGTGCCATAATGTGTGTGGCTGAGCAGTCAGGAGCTTCCCCATACTATGCCGTAGCTGGGCAGTAGGGACAAGTAGACCATGGCAGCCAGGTCCAAGCACTAGGCCTGTGCGAAGCAACAAGTATTCGATTCGGATTCGGATTCAGCTGACTCAGAAGGACAGCGATTCGATTTGGTGATTTGAGTCACTGTCCCGATTCAATTTGGCTGAACTGGATTCAGAGATTTGGCTGCTGAATTGGCCGATTTGGCCATAGACGATAATGGGGAATCACTAAAATACCTATAATGTTGTCATTTTTTTGCAGATTTGGATGAAAACAGCAGGGATGGTAGCCCCTTCTGAGGGCATGAAGCCTGCCAGGTTTCAAGGAGATAGGTGCAGGGGCTTCTGTGAAAGTGCACCTCAAACTGTTGAAAGAAAAACTTGTGTCACTTGTGGGTGTTAACTGGGTTTCTGGTTGTAGCCGTGCTGGTCTAAGGAACAGGCAGGCAAGGTTCTTTGAGTAGATGTGATATCTTTTATTAGACCAACTGAATAATTGGAAAATATCAATATATTCCAGGGAAATATAAATGGTTGTGAAAGTAACTAAAGAACGGAAATAGGTGTGGAGTGAGGAGAGTGGCATGTATTCTGTCTGCATGTGGAGCTTAGGGAATCCCAGCAGCAGGAGGTTCACCTTCAGGAACACCAGCTGCTCCACCAAACCAGGATCCATGGTGGGGATGTGACAATATCCCCAGCAATGCTGAACACCCTCTCGCTTGGAACACTGGTTGGTGGACAGGACAGGTGTTCCTGGGCAACCGTGGCCAGATCTGGCTACATCTGGCTGCAGGTTGCCCAATAGGCCAAGGGGTCACATTGCAGCGGCTCCACATCCTCAGCGAGATAGGTAGCCACCGAGGCCTCCACACTACCTGCTGGATGGTCGGGTCTGGTGCCTCTGGACCCCAACATTGAAGCCATGCCCTTGGCCCACATTGGCAGCGGCTATGGTGGCGGAGATTGGCTGGTGCTTGGAGTGCTGGCATGGGACAGTGGATCCCCTTCTTCCATGTCCCCCTGCCTCTGTCCTTCTGTTCACCAGCACCTCTGTCCAGTAATCCAGGGTTTTTCTGCTGCAGATGGTCCCCTTCACCCTTGGGTCACACATGCCTTGGACCGTCCTGGCCCGCAATGGATCCAGCTGTTTTTTGATGCCCTCCTCCAGCCACTTCACCAGTGCCTGAGCCTCGGGTGAAAGCGGCTTGCCCCAACCAGGAACATTGATCCCCTGGAACTTCTCCATTTCATTCTCGAGCTTCTTCATTTCTCACTATGGGGATCACCCAGCTAAGAAGGGCATCACCGGCACTAAAGATCTTGGTGGCCTCGAGAAATGGCTTGAGGACCACCAATATCTGGGAGATGGTATCCCAGTCAGTTTTGTTAAGGGGGCCGCTGATCCCAATTTCCCCAAGCGAGGCCATCTTATGGATGGCCTTCTGTTGCTTGACCAGCCTTTCGGGCATCAGGTATGTGGAGTTCCACCAAGTCTCCACATCCTGCATGATTTTGTGCTGTGGGATGCTCAGCTCTACCTGTTTCTCCCGCAGCATCTAGCCCCACTTGATGCTCCAGTGGAAGTAGCCCACCACCTTCCTGCATTTCAAAATGAGCTGGTTGGTCATGGTAGTGATGGCGTCATCACCAGGAGTCTTGTCCCCTTCCAAGGCATCCCTGACTATGAGGTGCAACTTGTGTGCCACACAGCGGATACCAAGAAAGCTGGCATCACACACCGCCTTGACCATATTGGCCCCGTTGTCAGTGACTGTGAACCCATGGGTGAGCTCGGCCTACCCAAAGAGCCACCCCTGCACCGTGAGGTTCATGGCCACCATGATCTCTCTTGCTGTGTGGGACTCATCTATCACCTCCACTTGAAGAAGAGCCCACTGACACCCTGACTGATCGCACTAGTGCCCTGTGAGGGAGAGGTAGGCATGATCTCCATTCTGGCTGCTCCAGATGTCGGAGGTGAAGTGCAAAGCTACCTGCAGCCCTGCCTTCCGCAGCTCCTCCTTCAAGTACTCCCTGCGTGCCTCATACAGGGAGGGCACCACTGTCCTGCTAAAGGTGGTGCATGCGGGCACTTGGTAGGATGGGACCATGAGTGTCATGAGCCACCTGAACCCTGGAGGCTCAACAAAGGAGAAGGGCTGGTCACACAGAGCAAGTGTGTCCCTAGTGACCTCGCCTTGGGAATGCACCCCGTTTGTCCCCACCTTTTCCCC